CCACATCTTAGTTTCACTCCTAGCCACTACCTTCCTGTATCTGTTTGGCTTTCCTAATTGCTAACATGTCAGTCTGGCCTTCTCCCCTCTACCTGTCTGACAAACCAGTGCCTGCCACCTGTCTGTGTGTCTCTTTGTGTGTCGCTCTGACAACCTCTCTGTCCTTTGTGACTGTCAGTCTGCCAGCCTGCCTGTCCACAGCCCTCTCCGCCTGTCCATCAGACTGTCTGTCTCAGTCTCCCTGTGTCTGTACCTCTATCACTGTAGTCGTCCACCAGCACCACCTCTTTCAGCAGAATGTCAGGGGACGTTTCCAGCACGCTATGGACTGTCCTCAGAAGGGTGGACCAGGCCTCGTTGTAGAAGGCGATCACCACAGAGGTTGTTGGCAAGGACCGGTAATCATATTTCAGCTCTCTGCAACTGCAAAGGAGAATTTAGTTGTTAAGAGGCAGAATAAGGGGGAGGAGGGGAGGCTGGGTGACAGGGTTAACACTGCATACTGAAGCAGGAAGCTTAAATCTGGTTGCCTAAGTAAGTACTCTGCGATTACCAAATGAAATTAACAGAACAGCAAATATAGGAAGGAGCAATTACTCCACCCCAACAGCAAATAACATACTATCACTCCAAGCGCTATAATGTCCTATGTGGCAGTAACTAAGTTGGGTTTTAACTTTGCTGTGAGATCCACACTGTGCAACATTTATCTTAACTTCAGGGTGATAATAGAGTGTCTTTGCTCAACTAGTAACTTACAGTGGGTTCCATCTCTCTGGCAGCCTGCGATGTAGAGACACTTTATCACTGACATATGTGTTAATCTGATTCTTTTTGAGACTTTCCTCTTCTTTCCTTTTCTCCTCTCCGTTCAGATTCAGTTTGACAGCTCTCCCCATTTCGCCCAGGGCATCTAAAGACATGGGGGGCTTCTCGTAGACAGGCTTCTTGAGCTGTTCATTTTCCACCTCTCCTCCCTCCACAGAGGCCCCTAGTCGATTTGTCGCGCTCACGTCCCCGGAGTTGTGTCTGAAAAATATCAGATACCCAACTAAAGTGGCACCACAGAGGAAAAAAAGTAGCTTGGGTCGATTCCTTCTTCCGCAGGCTGCCATCGTGTCGCTTCCTTCCTCAGTGCAGAGCTGTGTGAAGGTTTCCTGCCCTGAGGAGCTGCACTCCGCTTACACCTACTGCAGAAGTGACCCTTTTAGTTTCAACAGGCTTGTCACGTTTCCGTTTGACGACTTCAAGTTTATTCCGCATACTTTCAGCCACCATCAATGTGAGTCTACGTGAGTTTTCATTTCATCGGAGAAATGCCCAAATACCAACTCTGAGCCGGAACCTTAACGTCTTTATCTCGACTGACGTTTGAGTGGTACACTCCTCCTCCCCTCCTCCTCCTCCTCGACTCTTTTCAACGGTGATTAACGGATTCGGATTAATTATCTCCTTGGATTAGCTAGCTGCCTAACCTGTAGCTCCCCAATGGAGACAAAACAAATCCAGGTCACGATTTCCTTTAGTTTTCAGCGAGAAAATGACGAGCTAAATGCACTGAAATTAAATGAAAGCATGCCAGTAGTTTTCAAGATAAAGAAGCGACAAACTGTGTCCGTACGATATCTCTGTTGAATATGTAGTGTAACCCGCTGTGGTTGATTATCAGGCTAAACTTTGCCTCCCGTCTACTTTAACTTGCTTTGAAGTTCAAACCAAACTGCCAAGCTGGCCGAACTAGCAAACATATTTCCGGTATACGAATTTCAAAGTAAACATCTGCATCGTGCATGAATTTGAATGTACAGTAAATGAATAGCACTAGCATAGTCTATAATTGTTTGGTGTCCATTATAAGTGTTCAAGAGCATGTAGGCTACGTAGCCATGGCTAAACTTTGCGTCCCGGCTATTATCTGCTATATACTATTCAAATATAATATATGTTTCTTAAACTTAAATACATTGTCACTTTTGTATATATATTTTTTAATTCCTGTCAGTTTGTCATGTTTGATTCAAAAAGACATTTGCTGTCATAATAGACTGAATCATGAATACATTATTGTCAACAAGCTTATGTTTAATAATATGTTTGATTGGAAATAATTACTGCAGATTTTATCTTGGTTTTCCTGTTCGTCTGGTTTTATTAATTTTACAAGAACTGCAAAATTCTTACATGTTTGATGTGCTGTAAAACCACCACATGTAAAACTTGAGATCAAGTTTACGCTTTCATTTTGAAGGCAAAATAGTTAAACCGGAAGTGCCAAGTGTTCCTTAATAATATGTTTGATTGGAAATAATTACTGCAGATTTTATCTTGGTTTTCCTGTTCGTCTGGTTTTATTAATTTTACAAGAACTGCAAAATTCTTACATGTTTGATGTGCTGTAAAACCACCACATGTAAAACTTGAGATCAAGTTTACGCTTTCATTTTGAAGGCAAAATAGTTAAACCGGAAGTGCCAAGTGTTCCTTTTTTTTTAACTTGATGGAGTTGAAGTTCAACATCAGTGTAGCCTCAGGTAAATCTTTTAGAGCAATTATAGTGTGAGAGACTTCATCAGGTATAAAGACATCATTTACTTTCAGTAAGATTTTCCACATATTAGTCTTTATTTACTGTTTACTTACGAGTTCGTAACATGGTAGATAGGAGGGCATTTGGCCGGTTTTTTCCTTAGGCTATTGTTTACTGAACATTGCACCAAATATATATTTCTGGGGATTTTAGTCCAGGATAATATACATTACTCGGTGATAAAACCAATATATTTATTTACTCATAACATATTAGAAAATAACCTTCAGCTATACTTACTCAATATACTGTATATTCCCAGAAAAACACAGTGCAACAGTTAGTGAAATCATTTACCTCGGTGGTCTTATTTCATATGAAGCCAGTTGTCACTCACATGAAATTGATATGAAAACCCTTGACACGAATGATGAAATTTGACACAAAATGTATGTTTGAGCAAATTAAAATGCTAAATAATTAAGGCGATCATTCAAGGCGAGAAGGTAATTTGAGTGGCATACTGTTTGATCGAGTACCCATATTGTGAAAACCACAAAGAGACACGGGAAGGCAACAAGTCATCCGGAGTGTTGTAATATACCACGGTAGACTGGGCTTGTCGTGTCTGTCAGAGACACAATATTAATGTTAATGCATGAGGGCGTTTTCATTTAGGACCGGATGATAGATAGCATTTTCCATGCAACAGATATTTGGTGCAAATGTATTAACAGGAAGATAAAACAATAGTCCTTTGGAATATGTTATTATCTTCTCTGTTGTCACTCCACTACAGGCAGATATACTGTTTATGTGGCAAATAATAATAATAATATTAATAATAAGACAGATAAGGTTAGACAGCACAGACGCATCACAGTTTTCTTTATTTTCAAAATCTGACTTTTATTTTTACTTTTGTGTTTCATGTCTCTAATAAAATTACTTTAATGGAAACATTTAATGGGTGGAAACACGTCAACATTTATTGATGACTCTGCTTGATTGTGTGCTTCCTTCAAACAAGAAGAAAAGACACTCAAAAGACTGTGAGATTCACATTGGAAAAGTGGTTTGAACGCCACAAATGCAGCCCCTCTGGACCCCAAACAGCACATCCTAAAGGGCACCATGGCTGAAAGCTGCCAAAGGACTAATGCACCTTGACATGGCATTCAAAAGGGAATGACAAAAGCCCAGCACCAAGCAGGCACCAAGCACCCGCAGGTTTTAAGGAATGTGGATGACCCCATGTACAACTGGATCAGTCAGTCTTCTGTCATGGCTTGTATTTAGGCTGATCAATGAGACCTACTGTATATTTGAAAGCCCTAAAGCAAGTACTCTTAAAAACATGAAACCAGCAATGTTACAGATTTCATGTGTGAAATGGGTTAGGACTGCAGCAGCTGCAACAACAGATCACAAAAAATAGTACATACAGACTATAGACAGATCCAGACAAGGCTGTTCAGTGCTTCTGCAGCCAAATTGATGCTGACAATTAATTCCTCCTCTTTTGTTTTGATGTGATCCTTAATTGAGCTAAGATAAGCGGGGGTGGGGGGGTAGGGGGTGTTAATCTGGCCCTCTTTATATTCTCTACTGTACCTTCCTCTCTTGATCCATTATTAAAAGACCACTGTTTGCACCCCTCGTGCTCTATCAAAGGATGTTAACAGCTTCCCTGAAAAGATTCCCACAATTTACAGTGTAATTCAGCTACATTAACATGTCAGAGAATTATCCCTCGGACATCTAGACTAGACTATAACTAAGTGTGAGAATAAACTAGATTCAAAATATTAATATGAAGTATTAGCTTTAAAAATGTCTTCAAGATCATTCACACCTATCTCAGGTTTAGTGATGTTATCAATGTATATAGCGACTTAAAACTTAAATTCAAAACACAAACTCACTTGGCTATAATAGTAAATAAACCATTTATCATCTGATGAACATCATGAGTTCTACCAAGTTATTAATCGCTTGCTGAGCCCATAGACGCACAGAAATCAACGTGGACAAAATACAGACAGGCCACATTATTTAAGATAACTTCATCCTGTTTGGTCTCACTGGTTCCACAAGATTATTACCCTGAACAAGCTAAAGAAAAATCTTCTCAACCCTGCCCGTGTCCAGTTTTTGTGGACTGACTGGTCATTATTAGTCAGTTATTTGCTTTCCTGCCAGTAGGTGGTGCCAAATGACTGTGAAAGCTGTAATCCATTGTCTGAATCTTTTTATACACAGTCTATGGTCTAAAGGAAATAGGGAGTGAGGATCCCGCCTGTAGAAGCTTTTCAGTAAAAGCCACAGTCCTAAGTAAATTAACAAATTTGTTTCATGTTGTAGCTCAAGCGTTGACAGTTGTACAATATGCTGAGTGTCTACAGATGACAGCAAAAAGAAGATGACAAAAGTGCATTTGTGGTTAGTTTTTTTTATTCTTTCAATCATCCCAACACATATAATCTTATTTTGAGTCATCCATCCCATTTCAATCACCCTCTTCTTCATATCAAGTAATCACCATCATCATCACCATCATCCCTTTTGCATTATCAGTAGTTTGAGGTGCTTTACATTAGCACTGCCCCCCCGCACCCCCCCAGTCCCTTATTTCAAACATTATTTACAAAGGTAACACATAACAGGAGCCATCTTATATGTTTATCTACTGTATCTCTTATTCGTGAATTCAAAGGACCACAGAGACCAAACGTTGCTCAGTGATAAAGCAGTCTTCGGCAAATACAGCTGCTATTCAACAAACATTTCAACAACAGTTACACCACATCTCTTTGTCCTTACATCCCAGTAGAAACACAGACGGGATCTTCAGTGGAAAAAAAAAACAAAACAGGAGTGTTTTTGATGCCGTTTCAAGTACAGTTTACACACAGGAGTCTTGACAAAACATTCTGGCACAGCCAAGTTGAAAGATTAAATTAAACAGGCGCTCCCTTTAAGGCTTTTTGTGACTAAATAAAATCAAGTGCATCAAGCCAGTGTTATTTTAGATATCCACATTTAAAATGTTCTAAATACATTTGACATCCACTGGCACATTTCATTTCGGCACAAACGTGTTCTTCTTAGGATGACAACCTTTCAAAGGCACATTGACGTAGGAGTTTAAAGGGCATTCTTAATTTTACAATACAGGGAAGAATAGATGACAACATTCCTGTCAACTCACTAAGCCCTCTGGGGCAAATTGCACTTAGTGCATGCTTTTGCTTCAAGTCTTGTTCAGGCAGCATTCTACCATGAAACTGGCTCCACAGGCAAGAGATAGAATTGACGGGCAGTTCTGTATGACCACAGTGCTCTCTCCCTGTTCCCCTCTCACATGATGGAGCATGTTAGGATATAGCTGGTTTGGGGCTTAATGCTGCTGACCTTAAATTCCTGGCATGTCTTCTTTGAGCAGCCCATCTTTAAATTGGTTATTTTTTTCAACAACTAACGAAATAAGCATGATGATTGATACAATGAACAATAATAATTAATATTAATTTCACATTAAGGTAATATTCGGTAGTGCAGCATGATTTTTGCATCTAGTCTTCAAGGAAATGCTTTGTCTTTAATCTATTTGAAAGGCACTTCTTCATGTGCTGGAGAGTCAAACCAGTTTCACTGCTCTCATGTTGTTGCAAGAACAATGGCAACAATGACAGTTAAGGTGTGGACTCTGTTTTGGTTGCAGAGGCACTTGGATGAAAGCAACACGAAAGTAAAAGTCTCAAGTTCAGCTGGTCTCCTTAAAAAGACCCGATAAACCTCATCTTCAAATTCTCATTCACTCCAGCACCATCTGCACGTACGCAGTCATTCTCATGGGCATAAAAGCACTGAAATGGGTGAATCATTGGCTTAAAGTGACTTTTCACCGCCTTTTATTTGCTCATCATTCCCATTCAAATGGAGTGCAGACTTGGAGAGAGCCAGAGAATTGGGAGTAGCGGAGAAGACATCCACTGTAGTAATTGCACTATGGTCAAAGAAGGTCACTTGAGGTTTCCTGCTACTTTTTCTCTTCCTCCTCTTACCACTCAAACTTCCACTGCTGGGTTTTGTCTCCTGGATTGCACCGCCTCATCTGGGTGTCTGTGCGGCCCTCTGGTGTGCGGTAGGCTGTCACACACATGTCTGCATGAGGGTGGTAGATGGTCCCGTCCTGAAATGGTTTGAGGGAGAAATGTAGATTAGGGCCAGGATGAGAAATGTGTGAAATTGTGAGTGAAATGTGTGAAATTTAGTCATGCGGTGTAACATATGTGCAAACGAGTTCACTTGGCTTCGTGCTTGAGTGAGAGTCAGAGTGTTTGTGCGTGTACAAGAGTGCTCCCCTTACCTTTCTGAACTCCCAGATGATACTGGGAGACTTGAGCTCCCCATCACGAGGACAGTGCCTCATCCCGATGGAGGTCTGACCCTCGAGCACTTCAGCACACAGCTCTGTCACAGAGTTGAAACGGATCTCCCTCTGTGATGTGTATTCAAAGTACTGGAGCAGAATAAAAGACCTGGTTATGTGGCCATTTTGCAACATGGAGTTTGTATTTGGAAATTTTTTTGGAAAGCAACCCAACTGGAAAAGCAGCAGTGACTAAGAGATTGAAACATTTCTCTACTTCCTTTCCAGGTGTGTTGGAACATCTTTCTTTCCTCCCTTAAAATCTCTTTATTCAGAAAGCTTTTCAACAAGCACAATAGTACATGTTGGCATGTTTTTTCTACTAGGATTACAGGAGGTTTTTCTCTTGTTCTACTGTGGGATCAGTTCCTGGCTAGTTTCGTGGCGTGTCTGCATGTGTGTCAAGGGATCTCATCAGTAAAGATGGGGCTGTGGCCCTCTCAATCAAGCAGAAATAACACCCCCCCCCCCGGTGTCATTTCAACATCCTGGCCAATTGGGACAAAAGATGCAACAATCCCTGGGCTACCCGTTAAACAGAGGGTCAGGTAATCAATCTTCATACTTCCCCATCCTGCTCTTCACATCTCATACATCTTTCAGGTGCACTGGGGCCTATAATGGTTGTTACTAATAAAAGACTCACTTGGGGCCCCTGTGTCTGGCTTCAAACTTATTTACCCAGGCTGTGCCATTCATTCTGCTTGCGAGGCTCATGTATCTTTTAAATGGAACGTGGTTCTTATGTGGGCCAGGGACGGGGGAGCAGGAGGGAGGCGGTAAAGGGCCCTAAGGTTTTTGTTTCAGCAGGGAGCCATTCAAACATTGATTTTCAGTCACACATGGTGCTTTTTGTGACTGGGGACACCTGATGCGTTGCATCAGTGGGGTAATCAGAGTATCGAGCAGGCTGGAGATTCGCAGAAAGGAGCTTTGCCTACTGCCTGCCTCCCAACATTAAATATACATCCTCACAGGCAAATAATCTGCTGCTCGCTAAACCATCCATCACTGCAGCTGGCAGGCATTCAGTTTAAAAGTACATGTGATTCGATTGCTCGATATTTTTGGGTGTATTTTGGACGTAATACCAAACTGAGTTTTTCTTTTCATTACATTTGAGTCTGGACACACCAGCAGAGAGCAATTTTCTGGTGTGAATCAACTGTGGCAGCTCATTTTAGGGGTTAGCAGAAAGCGCTGACATTTTAAGATATATCTCCCATTGGGCCAAGAGAGGTCGTAAGATTATGACAAGAGAGAATACGTGCATGAGAGAGATGGAGAGAGATGGACAAAGACAGATTAAACGAGGTGTGAAATGCTTAGTGTACCTGGTTGCCTCCCTGGCCATGGCAGCCAAACAGAGAGAGGTGGGCACCTGTAGGACTGTGCTCCGGAGCGTTGTAATCCAGACACTCTGAATGTATCCCTGAGCTACGCACCTGGGAAGAGGAGAGAAATAAATATAAATGAAAATTCAAATGCTGTACTACACTGACTGCTGTAAGAGGTTTGTCTGGGTTGGTTTTATCCGAACAGGCAGGTCAGACTGTAAGGTCACATACACAACAGCACCCTGAGGCTAGTAGATTAGGTCTCCTGATTAAATGAGTCTCCAAGACATCACCTCGAAACAAAACAGACTTTTGCCTGCTGTTATCTTATTTTCCACATCAACACACACCTATTAAGCAATCAATATGAAACAGATGACCAGTGTTTTTTGTTTTACTTTCTCCTGCTTTCATATCAAACTGCCAATATTTCTACCTGTGAAAAATGCCATATTTTGAGGCTATGCCATTGTGTGTTTGTACTGTAGGCATGCATTCAATTTTTAGACAAGAACAACATTCCAGATTTTTGTACAACGCCCCGCAATGTGAAACAAGTGGCAGCACGGCAAGGTGGTGGATTTTTGGATGTACAGGCCAAAGAAATCTTTCGGGGCTTTTTCTTTTTTGTTAAGACATCAGGTGTCTGGATCATAATGATCTTGAGCTCAGTCCAAATGGGTTTCAAAGCCTTTGTTTGTCTTCATCCAGCCTTCTCACTTTCACCAGGATTTTCCCCCATCACGCCCCGCCTGACAACCAGTTTCAGACTCAAAATAGATGGAATTAAGGAAGAAAGACTGCAATGTCATCTCTGTGAGTGTTTAGAATCTAGGAGCATATCAGCTCAGAATCTTTGATCAGTAAGTAAGAGTAAATAAAGAGTAAGAGAGCAAATAAAACACAGATGCTGCAGCTTGATCAGAATAAATAATGGAATTCAGATAAAGACGGCAGACACTCACAGCACCATGCCAGCCCGACCTGTCCTCAGGTACATGTAGGTCAGGGTAGATGTTCTTCAGGTACCAGTCAAAACTGTTGCACTTTAGCCTCTCCCTCAGCAGCAGCCGCTCTGAGATATCCCCATAGGTTTCCTGTAAAAATAAGCGCACAACATATGAGCCACCTTCCCAATGTTGTCACTTCATCTCCAGGTTTTACCTTTGTTCATTACATACATGTTGTTCTTTTACAGCACATGATACATTTTCTCATGCATCTGAAGCATCTAACACAAAACAGCCACACCACAAAACTAAATATCTTAATTACCTTATTAACTTACATCCTGTCATCCTTACAACTGCTAATCCTACACATGTAACTCCACAACCTGGCAGCAGCAGGAAATCCTACTTACCTGTTTGTATTGGTCACACCTACAGTATAAACTATGTTACATAGCTGTGTTTGCTGAAGTGGGGAACTCCACCTTAAGCAACTCAAAGTCCAGATCATTCACCCACCTTACACCTTTGTACTTTCTGATAGTAAAATATAAATACAGAGACACCAAACTGTTTCAGTCACAAACTTTCCTAGATCAGAATAACGTGAAACTGTTGCTGGGATAAACAGTGGGAATGTAGTTTCTCATAATAAACAAATAAATAAATATTGTATATTATATATAAATATTATAATACAGTTAAACCATTTCACAATAAACCTCCAAATCCAGGATGTAGAAATTCATTAAAAATGAATGCTATGAGTTCTTGTGAAAAACCTGGTTAGAACAATTAATCTGGGCGGTACAGTGAAGTGGCTCCTTAAAAATCTGAACACTGTAAAAAACAAAAAAAACAAAAAAAAACAAAACAAAAACAAACACATATCAAATCAATATGCTTAACTAAATGCACTTAATGAAAAGGATTTATATATTAGTCCAAATGAATACTACTGTAGTCTGTTAACACGTACTATGATAACAGTGTAATAGATGTGCAGCTGGTGATCTGGCCTGGCGGTGCTGTGTTCAATCACCCCCTGACCAGGTAATTTATTGTTTGATCAAAGATCCCTGACATTAATAATGTACTTTTTTCAGATAGGTGAAACTGAGATACATGAATTTTTGATGGTGGCCAATACTCAGAACCTGAGAGGCACGGCACACGTACCACACACACATCCGCTTGACCTAGTCACACAGGCAGTGTTTCATCATATGTTGACACCTAGACAGGTGAATCATATCATATGAAACATCTAAATCTAACATCAAAGGTAAGCGACTCCTCATAGCATATTAACGTGGTGCTGCTAGGTGGGACATAGCATCAGTGCAAGGCTTCAGTTTAGCTCTGGTTGAATGGAAAACAAGCATGTAACAGGCCAAGACCGAGCTCAGTGCCTGGTGAGTGGCTGTCCAAACATGATTCTAAGGTTAGCATCACAGCAACATGTCTGGCTAAACAAAAACAAAACTTGCTTCCTTTCTTCTGTAAGTGTCCCACCTTTCTGGCTGGAGGATTCCTGTTGTAGAAGTGTTGTTTATATGAGTCCATCCAAACCTCTGCAGCTCGTACAGTATTCTGGAGGAAGTTGGGTCGAGCATAAGGGGCCTTTTTAGGGAACACATGGCCCACATGAGAGCAGGGGTGAATCTCCAGGCTGCCCCCACACTGCCATACCTGAGGGGGTTAAACACATGATATACCATGAATAAGATGTTTATGATACTCCATTTTATACTTTTGTTTAATACAAATTCTACACTTTTGTGGTTAAATAATCCCCCAAAGCAAGTTTACCTGATCCCTGTGTGTGTTTATTCTTAAACATTATGATAGAGCAGTGCTTCTCAACATTTTCAGGCAAGCCCCCCTTCAGACACTGAAAAAAGTTTAGCCCCACCCCACATTTTTTCCTCAATCATTAACAGTGATAGAGGAAGCAACTAATAAAATAGGACCCATGTTGAATTTTAGTGAAACAAAGGTCAGCACGATGCCATCGGCAACATTCATTCATCCAACTTAATTTCACTCCATATTTTTCCCCTGCTCATCCACTACCCCCCCCCCCCCGCAGTGGCTCTATGCCCCCCCACCAGAGGGGTTTGCCCACCATTTTGAGAACCACTGTGATAGAGAATCAGATGTTTATCATTAGCCTGCTACATTGTCAATTCTACGCCATGTGTTGAGCTGATGTGCCACAACAACTGGTGAACTTAATGCACTTAATTGCTGGTATTTATGACTGTGTCTGTAATGTTTGACCTACCTGCCAATAAACTAGTAGATCATTTGTAAATTGCAAATGGTAACTTTTTCAAATTGGGAAACAAGAGATCAGTCCTTGGGTGCAAAATAAATTATACTTTTATGCTATTTTTGTTTACACCTATATAAGCTTAAATCCTTTCTTCAAATATCTTTTTATTGAGGACAAGGTATAAGAAGACAGTTGTACAAAAAGGTAATATTTTTCCTTTTTCACAGAACACATATACAAACGAATACGTCCACCCCACCCACCCCCC